CGCGCGTATGCTTCGCATTCTAATAGCATGGTAATTGCATCTTTTTTTTGTAATGTTATTTTAGTTCCTTTTTTTTATCACAAGTACTTTATTGTTGGTGTGGCTGCTGAGTAGAGGCATAGCAAGTGGTGCGGTCTGTCGCGAGTTCGAGACCTACCGGGCAAAGTATTATTGTTTTTTTTTTGTGCTGGTGTGGCTGTTGAGTAGAGTCGACAGTAAGTAATTCGGTCAGTTGCAAATTCGAGCCCTGCCAAGGGAACTTTTTTTTATTAATTTATTTGGTGTTGGAATGGGTATAAGGGTATATTGTATTTGTGCAAAATCCAAATGTATGTAACAGGCAGAAGGAAGCATCTCCGACTCCATAAAGTATATATATTCTTGATCAGCATCAATAGCCGAGTCGATCTAGCCATGTCCGTCCGTCTGTCCGTCCGTCCGTCCGTCCGTATGTATGAGCTCAAAGGTCTCTGAACCTATAAGAGCTAAAGACTTGAAATTTTAGATGTAGATGCTCCTAGTTCCCGCGCAGATCGAGTTTGTTTCCGATAATCGATAACTTACTCCGTTTCCAAGCAATCGTTAAAAATCGATTCGACATATCGACATCCTGTTTTTTTAAGCAAATTGGGTAAATAATAAGAGCTAGAGCCGCCAAACATGATATGTTGCTTCTAGAATATTATAGATATTTCAAGTATCTTTCATTTCAGACCTATCGCCACCTCCCCGCTACCACCCCAGACCTATAAATCAAGTTAATAACCCAACTTTTATTGCCAACCAATTTAAACCACAATTTAAATGCAATTGATTTTTTCCGAATACACAAATATTCTATGGTACAATAAGATAGATAAGCATAGCAAGTGGTGCGGTCTGTCGCGAGTTCGAGCCCTACCGGGAAAAGTATTATTGTTTTTATACCCTGAACCCATTAAAAATGGGTATAAGGGTATATTGTATTTGTGCAAAATCCAAATGTATGTAACAGGCAGAAGGAAGCATCTCCGACCCCATAAAGTATATATATTCCTGATCAGCATCAAAAGCCGAGTCGATCTAGCCATGTCCGTCCGTCCGTCCGTATGTATGAGCTCAAAGGTCTCTGAACACCTATAAGAGCTAGAGACTTGAAATTTTAGATGTAGATGCTCCGAGTTCCCGCGCAGTTCGAGTTTGTTTCCGATAATCGGTAACTTACTCCGTTTCCAAGCAATCGATAAAAATCGATATCGACATCCTGTTTTTTTTAGCAAATTGGGTAAATAATAAGAGCTAGAGCCACCAAACATGATATGTAGCTTCTAGAATATTATAGATATTTCAAGTATCTTTCATTTCATACCTATCGCCACCTCCCCGCTACCACCCTAGACCTATAAATCAAGTTAATAACCCAACTTTTATTGCCAACCAATTTAAACCACAATTTAAATCCAATTGATTTTTTCAGAATACACAAATATTCTATGGTACAATAAGATAGCATAGCAAGTGGTGCGGTCTGTCGCGAGTTCGAGCCCTACCGGGCAAAGTATTATTGTTTTTTTTTTTTTTTGCTGGTGTGGCTGTTGAATAGAGTCGACAGTAAGTAATGCGGTCACTTGCAAATTCGAGCCCGGCCAAGGGAACTTTTTTTTATTAATTTATTTGGTGTTGGAATGGGTATAAGGGTATATTGTATTTGTGCAAAATCCAAATGTATGTAACAGGCATAAGGAAGCATCTCCGACCCCATAAAGTATATATATTCTTGATCAGCATCAATAGCCGAATCGATCTAGTCATGTCCGTCCGTCTGTCCGTCCGTCCGTCCGTCCGTATGTATGAGCTCAAAGGTCTCTGAACCTATAAGAGCTAAAGACTTGAAATTGTAGATGTAGATGCTCCTAGTTCCCGCGCAGATCGAGTTTGTTTCCGATAATCGATAACTTACTCCGTTTCCAAGCAATCGTTAAAAATCGATTCGACATATCGACATCCTGTTTTTTTTTTAGCAAATTGGGTAAATAATAAGAGCTAGAGCCACCAAACATGATATGTTGCTTCTAGAATATTATAGATATTTCAAGTATCTTTCATTTCAGACCTATCGCCACCTCCCCGCTACCACCACAGACCTATAAATCAAGTTAATAACCCAACTTTTATTGCCAACCAATTTAAACCACAATTTAAATGCAATTGATTTTTTCAGAATACACAAATATTCTATGGTACAATAAGATAGATAAGCATAGCAAGTGGTGCGGTCTGTCGCGAGTTCGAGCCCTACCGGGCAAAGTATTATTGTTTTTTTTTTTTTTTGCTGGTGTGGCTGTTGAATAGAGTCGACAGTAAGTAATGCGGTCAGTTGCAAATTCGAGCCCGTCCAAGGGAAGTTTTTTTTATTAATTTATTTGGTGTTGGAATATGAGGGTTCAGGGTATCCCCTAGTCGGGAGCTCCCGACAAGAACCTCTTACTTGGTTTATTAATTTATTTGGTGTTGGAATAAGAGGGTTCAGGGTATCCCCTAGTCGGAGCTCCCGACTAGAACCTCTTACTTGTTTTATAATAAGTACTTTATTGTTGGTGTGGCTGCTGAGTAGAGGCATAGCAAGTGGTGCGGTCTGTCGCGAGTTCGAGCCCTACCGGGGAAAGTATTATTATTTTTATACCCTGAACCCATTAAAAATGGGTATAAGGGTATATTGTATTTGTGCAAAATCCAAATGTATGTAACAAGCAGAAGGAAGCATCTCCGACCCTATAAAGTATATATATTCTTGATCAGCATCAATAGCCGAGTCGATCTAGCCATGTCCGTCCGTCTGTCCGTCCGTCCGTCCGTCCGTATGTATGAGCTCAAAGGTCTCTGAACACCTATAAGAGCTAGAGACTTGAAATTTTAGATGTAGATGCTCCTAGTTCCCGCGCAGATCGAGTTTGTTTCCGATAATCGGTAACTTACTCCGTGTCCAAGCAATCGATAAAAATCGATATCGACATCCTGTTTTTTTTTAGCAAATTGGGTAAATAATAAGAGCTAGAGCCACCAAACAAGATATGTAGCTTCTAGAATATTATAGATATTTCAACTATCTTTCATTTCATACCGATCGCCACCTCCCCGCTACCACCCCAGATCTATAAATCAAGTTAATAACCCAACTTTTATTGCCAACCAATTTAAACCACAATTTAAATGCAATTGATTTTTTCAGAATACACAAATATTCTATGGTACAATAAGATAGATAAGCATAGCAAGTGGTGCGGTCTGTCGCGAGTTCGAGCCCTACCGGGGAAAGTAATATTATTTTTATACCCTGAACCCATTAAAAATGGGTATAAGGGTATATTGTATTTGTGCAAAATCCAAATGTATGTAACAAGCAGAAGGAAGCATCTCCGACCCCATAAAGTATATATATTCTTGATCAGCATCAATAGCCGAGTCGATCTAGCCATGTCCGTCCGTCTGTCCGTCCGTCCGTCCGTCCGTATGTATGAGCTCAAATGTATCTGAACACCTATAAGAGCTAGAGACTTGAAATTTAGATGTAGATGCTCCTAGTTCCCGCGCAGATCGAGTTTGTTTCCGATAATCGGTAACTTACTCCGTTTCCAAGCAATCGATAAAAATCGATATCGACATCCTGTTTTTTTTATCAAATTGGGTAAATAATAAGAGCTAGAGCCACCAAACATGATATGTAGCTTCTAGAATATTATAGATATTTCAAGTATCTTTCATTTCATACCTATCGCCACCTCCCCGCTACTACCCCAGACCTATAAATCAAGTTAATAACCCAACTTTTATTGCCAACCAATTTAAACCACAATTTAAATGCAATTGATTTTTTCAGAATACACAAATATTCTATGGTACAATAAGATATACTGTAGAACATTTCATAAAGATCGGTTAAGAAAAAACAAAGTTATATGCAACTGCACAATTGAATGGGGCAGCAGCTTTAAGAATTTCTGTATACATGTACACATGTTCACGCGCGTCGGCTTCGCATTCTAATAGCATGGTTATTGCATCTTTTTTTTGTAATGTTATTTTAGTTCCTTTTTTTATCATAAGTACTTTATTGTTGGTGTGGCTGCTGAGTAGAGGCATAGCAAGTGGTGCGGTCTGTCGCGAGTTTGAGCCCTACCGGGCAAAGTATTATTATTTTTTTTTTTTTTTGCTGGTGTGGCTGTTGAGTAGAGTCGACAGTAAGTAATGCGGTCAGTCGCAAATTCGAGCCCTGCCAAGGGAACTTTTTTTTATTAATTTATTTGGTGTTGGAATAAGAGGGTTCAGGGTATCCCCTAGTCGGGAGCTCCCGACTAGAACCTCTTACTTGTTTTTCTTTTGCTGGTGTGGCTGTTGAGTAGAGTCGAGCCCTGCCAAGGGAACTTTTTTTTATTAATTTATTTGGTGTTGGAATAAGAGGGTTCAGGGTATCCCCTAGTCGGGAGCTCCCGACTAGAACCTCTTACTTGTTTTATTAATTTATTTGGTGTTGGAATAAGAGGGTTCAGGGTATCCCCTAGTCGGGAGCTCCCGACTAGAACCTCTTACTAGTTTTAATTTAAACGAATGAACAATACGATTAGTAAAACGGCATACATAAATAATATAATATCTTCTGAGAAATTAGCGTATTACAAAATGCCTTTGATAGAATCTAAAAGAGTCGATTCGACTGCTAACGTAATTAATAATGTAGAATCCACTAATGTAGATTTAGGTCTTACCAACAGATTGTTAATAATTATCGTTGTTTTTTTCAGCGCAAACTTAATTTCTTAACTGTACAAGTTACACAATAAATGTTTGCGGAGAAAATATATGAGCAAAGCTAACGATCTAGATAAAATCTAAAAACTAAAAATAAAATGTTAACAAAAGCCGCTACATCGATTATTGTTATCATTGTGCCTCAATAAAAGTGCACTATTATCAAACAAACAAAAATAAAACATGTTCGAGTTCTAGTGGAATTATATAACAAAGTCCTTGACATTGTAAACAACAATGAACGTAGGTTAAGCGATTTACATTTAACACAATCAATTGACGTGTTAAATAGCCTGCGTGAAAATATTAGACATATTTCGGAAAGACATAATTTTCAAATATTTGTTCCAAATGCGCTAAATACACCAGCAACATTCGAAATCACTGATTTCATGATATCAGTAGAAGAATAACTTAAACAAAAGCAAGAACAAATCGAAATAGTCAACATGGCTCAATCACCAGTAGATTTTCTTAAGATAGCCTTATCGCTCTTACCAGAGTTTGATGGCAAGGCAGAAAATTTAAAAAGCTTCATAGATGCTCTGAATCTGGTAGATTCTCTAAAAGAAACACACGAAGCACTTGCTGTAAGTCTTCTTAAGACAAAACTAAAAGGCCATGCCAGGAACCTGATAAGTGATGAGAACACTATTACAGCTCTCATATCGAAACTATCGGACAAATTAAAAGGAGAGTCAGTAGAAGTTATTTCTGCTAAACTTCTAAACTTACAACAAAAGAGCAAAACGGCCAATCAATATACCCAATAGGCTTAAAATTGAAAAAAAAAGTCCCTTGAAGGAGTCTATATCAGTGAAGGTCTAAGCCAATCACTTGCAAACACTACAAGAGCCGTAAAACCTATGACCCAAAATTGTTCGATTGATAAGGTAAAACTTATCATGCAGGCAGGCACATTCACAAATATGAATGATGCCGTCTCCAAATTTGTCAATAGTTGCACGGAGGTAACAGGTCAAAGTAACACTGTCCTGTATTATCGACGAGGTGTAAATCAAAATAATAGACGAGGCCGAAGTTATAATCGTGGCAAAAATTACAACCACAACAATTGCAACTGCGGCGGTAATAACAACAACAACAACAATAATTACAATAACCGTGCAGGAAGACGAGGCCAAAATCGGGGAAGAGGCCGCGGGAACTCCAACCAAGGTAACAATTATAACAATGTGAGAGTGGCGCAAAATGCGTCGGAAAACTCTCAGCACCCTTTAGGAAACAATCTGTAAATGCAAAGGTTCATTGCATCAATTACAGTCTTAATATATTTGTCACTCTTTATAATCATTCAACTGAAAATAAACACACATTCCTAATAGATACTGGTACAGATATCTCACTTTTAAAAATAAATTCAGATAATTTCAAAATTCAAGAAGACAAAATTATAAACATCCAAGGCATCGACCAGGGTGTAATAAAATCGCAAGGAACAACTTCAATAGAACTTCAACCAACAAAATATATTAATCCACACGAATTTCATTTAGTAGACTCCGATTTTTGAATACCGTGTGATGGAATAATAGGCATTAATTTTATTAAAAAATTCAATAGCCAATTAGACTTCAAACCAAGTAAAGACTGGTTTATAATTATACCTCAAAACTTAAATTATCCTATTTATGTTCCAATGCAACAATGCATTTCTTCTGCCAGCCAGATCCCAACTAATTCGAAAAATAGACATTAATTCAGTAAACGATTATATATTTGTTCCAAATCAAGAAATACATAATGGAATTTATGTTGCAAATACAATAGCAGCATCCAAACATGTATACATTCGCCTTCTAAGCACAACTAATTTCGACCAATTGGTTAAAGTTAACAAAATCGAATATGAAAATTTAACAGATTACGATATTCATAACACTAATCCAGAAAATAGAAGCTAACAAGTACTTTCAAAGTTAAAGAAAAATTTTCCAGAACAATTCAGAAATCAATTAACAGAATTATGCACCAAGTATAATGATGTGTTCGGACTGGGAACCGAACCAATAGCGACAGATCATTTTTATAAACAAACATTAAAACTTAAAGATGATGAACCGATTTATATCAAAAACTACAGAAGCCCGCATAGTCAAGTTGAGGAAATCCAAAAACAAGTAGGGAAATTAATAAACGACAAAATCGTAGAACCATCTGTATCCGAGTATAACAGACCACTCTTGCTAGTTCCGAAAAAATTATTACCACATTCGGAGGAAAAGAAATGGCGATTAGTAATTGACTATCGCCAAATCAACAAAAAATTACTTTCTGACAAATTCCCACTCCCCAGAATTGATGATATTCTAGACCAACGGGGCAGAGCTAAATACTTTTCATGCCTTGACTTAATGTCAGGTTTTCACCAAATTGAACTTGAAGAAAATTCAAGAAATATAACATCTTTTTCAACGAGCAATGCCTCATATCGCTTCACGCGATTACCATTTGGTCTTAAAATAGCACCAAATTCATTTCAGAGAATGATGACAATAGCATTCTCGGGTTTAGAACCCTTTCAGGCATTCCTTTATGTGGATGATTTAATGGTGATCATGATTAAAAACTTAACTGATGTTTTTAATGTATGTAGATAATATAACCTAATGTTGCATCCAGAAAAATGTTCATTTTTCATGCATGAAGTACATTTTTAGGTCACAAATGCACTGACAAAGGAGTATTGCCAGATGACAAGAAATTTGATGTCATCAAAAATTATCCTGTCCCTCATGATGCGGATAGCGCGAGACGATTTGTAGCATTCTGCAATTATTATCGTCGATTTATAAGAAACTTCGCCGATTATTCACGGCACATAACTAGATTATGTAAAAAGAATGTTCCTTTTGAATGGTCAAGTGAATGCCAAAACGCATTCCAATACCTTAAAGAAAAGCTTATGCATCCCACATTATTACAATATCCTGATATTCGCAAAGAATTTTGCATTATAACAGGTGCTAGTAAACAAGCCTGCGGAGCGGTTCTAACTCAGAACCGTGACGGAATTCAGCTCCCAATAGCTTATGCATCTCGTTCATTTACAAAAGGGGAAAGCAATAAGAGCACAACAGAACAAGAGTTAGCGGCAATTCATTGGACAATTACCCATTTTAGACCATATATTTATGGCAAGCAGTTTAGTATTAAAACAGAACACAGACCATTGACATATCTTTTTTCTATGACTAATCCCAGCTCGAAATTAATTCGCATGCGGCTAGAGCTTGAAGAATACGACTTCACAGTAGAATACCTAAAGGGGAAAGATTATTTTGTAGCAGATGCACTTTCGCGTATTAATATAAAAGAACTCAAAGATATGCAACATAAAGTCCTGAATGTCACTACCAGGCGACAAAGTAAACAAAATAAAAACTGTATAGTAGAAAATTATGAACTTCTGCCAAGGCAAAGTCATAAAAATGTATCCAAGCCCAACGTACATGAAGTCATCACAAATGATGAAGTACGAAAAGTAGTGACCTTGCGCATAACAGAATCTAAATGTTTATTTAAACATGGAAATAAAATTATCGCAAGAATTAAAGTTAGCGATTTATATACCAATGGAATTCTCGACCTAGGCTAGTTCTTCCAAAGGCTCGAAAAAGAGACCGGTATATTAAAAATCAGCCAACTCAAAGTGCCGCCGAGCGAAAAGATCTTTGAATCAGTTTCAATAGATTGTTTTAAAAATATGGGCAATGAAATATTCAAATCTTTAAGAGTAGCGCTACTCCAGCTGGTGACCCAAATAACAGATGATAAAGAGATACAACAAATATTGTCTACATACCATGACGACCCCCTATTACGACCTCAAGGAGGTCATAGCGGAATAAGAAGAACGCTAGCGAAAATAAAAAGACACTACTACTGGTAAAATATGACACGTCATATAAAAGAGTACGTACGTAGATGTCAAAAATGACAAATGTCTTAAACAAAGACGCACACATAAACTCCTTTGACTCTCACAGAAACACCTGTGACTGCTTTCGATATAGTGATAGTGGATACAGTTGGTCCGCTACCTAAATCGGAAAATGGCAATGAATACATAGTTACATTAATATGCCACCTTACAAAATATTTAGTAGCCATTCCAATAAAAAGCAAACGCGCAAATATTGTCGCAAAAACTATATTCGAAAATGTAATACTCAAGTTTGGTCCAATTAAGACGTTCATCTCGGACATGGGAACAGAAAAAACCAGATTTTAACTGATTTATGCAAGTAAATGAAGACCAAGAATCTCACCTCTACTGCATATTATCATCAAACATTAGGGAGAATCGAACGAAGTCATCGAACATTTAATGAATACATTCGTTCATACATCTTTGCAGACAAAACTGACTGGGATGTCTGGATTCAATATTTCACATATTGCTTCAACACTTCAACACCATCAGCAACGCATGAGTATTGTACATACGAACTAGTATTTGGCCGACTACTAAATAGTTCATAGATTTAAATAAAACTAATTACATAGATCCTATTTATAATCTAGATGACTACTCTAAGGAAATAAAGTTTCGATTAGAAATAGCATATAAAAGAGCTGGAATTATGTTAGAAAAAGCCAAGGCTTATAGGAAATTAGCATACGATAAAAAAACAAAAAATTTTGAATTAAAAATAGGAGATAAAGTACTTAAAAGAAATGAAACAGGCCACAAATTAGACCCAGTATATTTAGGACCATATATAGTAGAAAAAATAGAAGATAATGATAACATTTACATTAAAGATAGTAAGAATAAGAAACAAAAAGAACATAAGGATAGGTTACAAATATATAATCAATGAAACGTTTCATGAAAAAAAGGGTCTGATCAACCTAAAACAAAAAATGTTTAGCATAATGAAATATAAGCATAATGAAAAACAAATGGGAATAAAATAAAGAAAATTTAAATTCTTCTAGGAAAGTCGAATGAAAAATATAAAGTTGAATGGAGTTAAGGTATCTCAAATATATTCAAATAAAAAAAATATTGTATCAATGAACACAAATATTAAAACAAAAAAGAAAAGAGAGATAACACATTTTAATACACCTAATATATTTTACACATTCTTAATTACACTTTTTTATACATTTTTAAAACACATAAAATAAGATACACAAAAAAATAACACAAAAAAAAATTAAAAATTATTATTACTATTAATTTCAACATTTTTTACCGACTTTAACACTCTCTAAATATTGCGTAATTTCTTTAAAACGGTAGGTGTAGTATACCTACCCTGCCAGTAATACAAATCAAGGGGTATAACAGTAAATACATACATTGTGACACTCAGTAATAATAATCATAAATATACAAATACCCAAAAGACCACACTTAAACATATAAACACACCAGCGCATATGTCATACGATCCACCACTTACTCCCGACTAGAACCTCTTACTTGTTTTTTTTTTTTGCTGGTATGGCTGTTGAGTAGAGTCGACAGTAAGTAATGCGGTCAGTTGCAAATTCGAGCCCTGCCAAGGGAACTTTTTTTATTAATTTATTTGGTGCTGGAATATGAGGGTTCAGGGTATCCCCTAGTCGGGAGCTCCCGACAAGAACCTCTTACTTGTTTTATTAATTTATTTGGTGTTGGAATAAGAGGGTTCAGGGTATCCCCTAGTCGGGAGCTCCCGACTAGAACCTCTTACTTGTTTTATAATAAGTACTTAATTGTTGGTGTGGCTGCTGAGTAGAGGCATAGCAAGTGGTGCGGTCTGTCGCGAGTTCGAGCCATACCAGGGAAAGTATTATTATTTTAATACCCTGAACCCATTAAAAATGGGTATAAGGGTATATTGTATTTGTGCAAAATCCAAATGTATGTAACAGGCAGAAGGAAGCATCTCCGACCCCATAAAGTATATATATTCTTGATCAGCATCAATAGCCGAGTCGATCTAGCCATGTCCCTCTGTCTGTCCGTCCGTCCGTCCGTCCGTCCGTATGTATGAGCTCAAAGGTCTCTGAACCTATAAGAGCTAGAGACTTGAAATTTTAGATGTAGATGCTCCTAGTTCCCGCGCAGATCGAGTTTGTTTCCGATAATCGGTAACTTACTCCGTTTCCAAGCAATCGATGAAAATCGATATCGACATCCTGTTTTTTTTTAGCAAAATGGATAAATAATAAGAGCTAGAGCCACCAAACAAGATATGTAGCTTCTAGAATATTATAGATATATCAACTATCTTTCATTTCATACCTATCGCCACCTCCCCGCTACCACCCAATATCTATAAATCAAGTTAATAACCCAACTTTTATTGCCAACCAATTTAAACCACAATTTAAATGCAATTGATTTTTTCAGAATACACAAATATTCTATGGTACAATAAGATATACTGTAGAACATTTCATAAAGATCGGTTAAGAAAAAACAAAGTTATATGCAACTGCGCAATTGAATGGGGCAGCAGCTTTAAGAATTTCTGTATACATGTACACATGTTCACGCGCGTCTGCTTCGCATTCTAATAGCATGGTAATTGCATCTTTTTTTTGTAATGTTATTTTAGTTCCTTTTTTTATCATAAGTACTTTATTGTTGGTGTGGCTGCTGAGTAGAGGCATAGCAAGTGGTGCGGTCTGTCGCGAGTTCGAGCCCTACCGGGCAAAGTATTATTGTTTTTTTTTTTCGCTGGTGTGGCTGTTGAGTAGAGTCGACAGTAAGTAATGCGGTCAGATGGAAATTCGAGCCCTGCCAAGGGAACTTTTTTTTATTAATTTATTTGGTGTTGGAATATGAGGGTTCAGGGTATCCTCTAGTCGGGAGCTCCCGACAAGAACCTCTTACTTGTTTTATCATAAGTACTTTATTGTTGGTGTGGCTGCTGAGTAGAGGCATAGCAAGTGGTGCGGTCTGTCGCGAGTTTGAGCCCTACCGGGCAAAGTATTATTATTTTTTTTTTTTTGCTGGTGTGGCTGTTGAGTAGAGTCGACAGTAAGTAATGCGGTCAGTTGCAAATTCGAGCCCTGCCAAGGGAACTTTTTTTTATTAATTTATTTGGTGTTGGAATAAGAGGGTTCAGGGTATCCCCTAGTCGGGAGCTCCCGACTAGAACCTCTTACTTGTTTTTCTTTTGCTGGTGTGGCTGTTGAGTAGAGTCGACAGTATGTAATGCGGTCAGTTGCAAATTCGAGCCCTGCCAAGGGAACTTTTTTTTATTAATTTATTTGGTGTTGGAATAAGAGGTTTCAGGGTATCCCCTAGTCGGGAGCTCCCGACTAGAACCTCTTACTTGTTTTAATTTAAACGAATGAACAATACGATTAGTAAAACGGCATACATAAATAATATAATATCTTCTGAGAAATTAGCGTATTACAAAATGCCTTTGATAGAATCTAAAAGAGTCGATTCGACTGCTAACGTAATTAATAATGTAGAATCCACTAATGTAGATTTAGGTCTTACCAACACATTGTTAATAATTATCGTTGTTTTTTTCAGCGCAAACTAAATTTCTAAACTGTACAAGTTACACAATAAATGTTTGCGGAGAAAATATATGAGCAAGGCTAACGATCTAGATAAATTCTAAAAACCAAAAATAAAATGTTAACAAATGCCGCTACATCGATTATTGTTATAATTGTGCCTCAATAAAAGTGCACTAGTATCAAACAAACAAAAATAAAACATGTTCGAGTTCTAGTGGAATCATATAAGTCCTTGACATTGTAAACAACAATGAACGTAGGTTAAGCGATTTACATTTAACCCAATCAATTGACGTGTTAAAAAGCCTGCGTGAAAATATTAGACATATTTCGGAAAGACATAATTTTCAAATATTTGTTCCAAATGCGCTAAATACACCAGCAACATTCGAAATCACTGATTTCATGATATCAGTAGAAGAATAACTTGAACAAAAGCAAGAACAAATCGAAATAGTCGACATGGCTCAAACACCAGTAGATTTTCTTAATATAGCCTTATCGCTCTTACCAGAGTTTGATGGCAAGGCAGAAAATTTAAAAAGCTTCATAGATGCTCTGAATCTGGTAGATTCTCTAAAAGAAACACACGAAGCACTTGCTGTAAGTCTTCTTAAGACAAAACTAAAAGGCCATGCCAGGAACCTGATAAGTGATGAGAACACTATTACAGCTCTCATATCGAAACTATCGGACAAAGTAAAAGGAGAGTCAGTAGAAGTTATTTCTGCTAAACCTTTGAACTGACAACAAAAGAGCAAAACGGCCAATCAATATACCCAATAGGTAGAAATATTGAAAAAAAAAAAGTCCCTTGAAGGAGCCTATATCAGTGAAGGTCTAAGCCAATCACTTGCAATCACTACAACAGCCGTAAAAGCTATGACCCAAAATTGTTCGATTGATAAGGTAAAACTTATCATGCAGGCAGGCACATTCACAAATATGAATGATGCCGTCTCCAAATTTGTCAATAGTTGCACGGAGGTAACATGTCAAAGTAACACTGTCCTGTATTATCGACGAGGTGTAAATCAAAATAATAGACGAGGCCGAAGTTATAATCGTGGCAAAAATTACAACCACAACAATTGCAACTGCGGCGGTAATAACAACAACAACAACAATAATTACAATAACCGTGCAGGAAGACGAGGCCAAAATCGGGGAAGAGGCCGCGGGAACTCCAACCAAGGTAACAATTATAACAATGTGAGAGTGGCGCAAAATGCGTCGGAAAACTCTCAGCACCCTTTAGGAAACAATCAGTAAATGCAAAGGTTCATTGCATCAATTACAGTCTTAATATATTTGTCACTCTTTATAATCATTCAACTGAAAATAAACACACATTCCTAATAGATACTGGTACAGATATCTCACTTTTAAAAATAAATTCAGATAATTTCAAAATTCAAGAAGACAAAATTATAAACATCCAAGGCATCGACCAGGGTGTAATAAAATCGCAAGGAACAACTTCAATAGAACTTCAACCAACAAAATATATTAATCCACACGAATTTCATTTAGTAGACTCCGATTTTTTAATACCGTGTGATGGAATAATAGGCATTAATTTTATTAAAAAATTCAATAGCCAATTAGACTTCAAACCAAGTGAAGACTGGTTTATAATTAAACCTCAAAACTTAAATTATCCTATTTATGTTCCAATGCAACAATGCATTTCTTCTGCCAGCCAGATCCCAACTAATTCGAAAAATAGACATTAATTCAGTAAACGATTATATATTTGTTCCAAATCAAGAAATACATAATGGAATTTATGTTGCAAATACAATAGCAGCATCCAAACATGTATACATTCGCCTTCTAAGCACAACTAATTTCGACCAATTGGTCAAAGTAAACAAAATCGAATATGAACACTAATCCAGAAAATAGAAGCTAACAAGTACTTTCAAAGTTAAAGAAAAATTTTCCAGAACAATTCAGAAATCAATTAACAGAATTATGCACCAAGTATAATGATGTGTTCGGACTGGGAACCGAACCAATAGCGACAGATCATTTTTATAAACAAACATTAAAACTTAAAGATGATGAGCCCATTTATATCAAAAACTACAGAAGCCCGCATAGTCAAGTTGAGGAAATCCAAAAACAAGTAGGG